AAATTATGTATTAAAATCATATTTTTTTTTTTTGGGTCTCTCAGCTGTTACATTGTGAATAAAAATCTTTTTCTATCAATTAGTTATTCTTAAATAATTTTATTGCCTCTTCGTTAAAATCCTCATGACAAATTAAGTCTCAAATCTTAAACAAGTATGAGATAAGATATTAATTAAATCACCGAAAAAATAATTTCCTTTTAATTACTAATGATTTATCAAAAATTTATTGATAAAACATTTATAATTTTGTTTTTTGAGTAGATGGCCATAATTTTATACCAAAATTGGCAAACATATAATGTGTGCTATTATTAATTTCATTATGATTATTTAATATAAGCACATATTTCTACAATTTCATCTTTTTTGTTACTATAGGCTTTAGACTAGGATGCTCGCTTACACATTCACACTCTTGTCACCTATGCAACCTACCCATTCAACCTAACGCCAGACACGGTCTAAACTGCACCAGCAGCCAAGAACGCTATATCTGCCATAAAGCAATTAATAAAATCATACAACGCTTTTAATAAGGCTAAAACACCCAACATCCTTGAACCTACCAACCGCTCATTACAAGATGGCTTAACTTGCACCACCTGGTCCAATGGGAAATCCCTTATTTGGGATGCAACCTGGGTATCATCCTTTCCTTCATCAATTAACACAAACCCTCTTACTTGTGGGGAAGATAAAAAAATTAATAAATATTCAAAATTAAATAACTTTATTTGGAAATTTTTAACCACAATTATACATGCTTTTTAGGAACATTTTTATTATTAAATTAAGCTCTTTTTAAAGCCTTCGATACTATTAATATATATTTTTATTTAGTCATTTTATAAATATTTACATATTTTTATAGTGTTGTTTTAATATTTTAGTGTTTTATCATTTCTTTTTAAAATTATATCAATAACAATATGATATAATTTGTGTAAAATAATACATAGCGTTAAAATACTAAATTAAAATAATATAAAATAAAATAAATAAAATATTATATAAAAACCGAGGTGGGACTACAAGTTCCCAAAAAACATGTGTAGTTATATTTTAAAATTATGATTTGGAGGTTTTGTTTTAAGAAATAAAATTCTTTAGGTTCTGATGTAAGGGCTCTTATCTTATCCCCTATATTTTTTAAAAACTTTAAAGTTCCACTTGGCATATGTCCAAGGGAAGAGATGACAATCGGTGTAAAAATATAATTTGTGAATTTGGAATATTTCATTGTTTTTTTTTTCTCGGCTATATCAACCGGATTAGAATTTAAATTTTTTGGGAAAGAAGATACGCATGTGAAGTCCCAAATTAAGGATTTCCCTAAAGACCAAGGCACGGAAGTTAAACCATCTGGTCTTAAGCCATCATCTAACGATAAATTTGTAGGCTCCAGGATGTTTGGTATTCGGGCCCTGGTAAGAGAACGGCTAATAGCTAAATTAATTGCTGCATGCCTTGCATGCCTGCCTTGACTATATATACAATTTAGACCATGTCTCCCTTTGGAGTCAACTAATGTTTTACATTTGATGCATGTATGTGGTTGAACAATGTTACATCCAAGTCGATGGCCTATGGCAACTCTTAGTTGTTCATCTGATAAGAGGTTACCTAGGTTACGACTTGGTAATGCTTCCAACCATTCATAGCCACTAGTACAGTCAGCATTCTGTAATAGTTGAATATACTCCAAAGGGGGGTTTGATGAGATTATTTTAAAAAATTTTTTAATTAAAGGTTCGAAAAGAGATTGGTGTGTTAAGATCGTGGGTAAGACAGCTTCAGGTGGAGCTAAAGATGTCCAGGCTGTCAAGGCTGAGTTTAAAAGGTTATCTTTAGGAGAGATAAAAGAAGATATCATGGCGTTATTCATCAAACGCGATGCCAAAAATGAGGAAAGAGATAGAAGGTTTAAAGGATATAAATCTAAACCACCCATTTTCGAGGGTAATTGTGAGAAACCCCAATTAAAATCTTCCAATTTAATATTTAAAATATTTTCTAATAAACTTCTAAAAAATTCATGAACACGATTAATAATTTCATTATTTAAAAAAAAGGAAGAAGATCTAAAAATATGTACTATCTTTGGTAAAAATAAATATTTTTTTAAAAGAAAAAAGCTCTGGTGTGAAGGAATTTCGTTTAAAATAGTTTCGAGTCCTGATAAGCCTTCGAAAAATTTTTCCACGAACACCTCACAGTTGGAAAAACTGCTTAAAGGTGAACCTAGAAGATTAATTTCACTTTTTTTGATGATTTTAAACCCTTGGACTTTGAGAGTATTTGAATTTAAAAAGCATATTTCCGATTTAGCTTTATTTAGAGTAAGGCCTATGTTTAGAGAATTTTTCTCTATATAATCTATCGCTGCAAGAATATTTTTAGAAGGTCCGCAAATGGTACCATCATCTAGATACCATATGTTTAAATCTAAATTAAAAGAGGATTTTAGACAATGAACTAGGTTATGTATACCTAAACTAAAGATCAGAGGGCCCAAAGGGTCTCCTTGTTGAATACCCTCGTCAGAAGGAATTGTATATTCCCCGAATTTGAGAGGGGTTCTACAGCCATAAGACTGTTCAATAAATCTTGCATAAACTGGGAATTTTTAATAAAAAATGTTTTTCTGGATAAAGAATTAAAAGCATTTTTAAAATCAAGCTTACAGACTACGGCGTCTGGAGGAGGATCTTCGATATATATGCGAAGAGAGTGAGCGGCTATTTCGCATCCCCCTTTAGTACCAAAGCCTAGTTGATATGTTTGGAACATTTTTGAAGCATCAGGTTTGATGCGCTCAACGATTATCTTAGCTAATAGTCTCCTAAAAAAAGACCCTATTGCGATTGGCCGAACTCCACCATCAGGCTTAGTAAAAGCAATTAATCTAAATATATCTTTATGAGGATTTTTAGGGTTCGTTTTATAATATTTTTTCAATAACAATATTATCAAAATTAAATTTTTATTTTTGAAATATATTTATAGTTGTATGGTCGTTAGAAAAGAGATTCAAAATATTGCATTTAACACATTCAATAATTGTCGTTCAAAACATATATATATATATATCTATGTTAAATTTAAAAAACATCTTTTCTTTTATATACCTCAATATATCGATATATATAAATCCAAAAAATTATCGGGGAGAGGGTAGTTCATCTCCGAACGAAATACACCTCTGTATATTATAAATAAAATTTCATTTTATTCTAGTGCATTATTTGGGAAGGAATTTGTTAAAAATTTAAGAAATAATTTATGTTCATTAGCTTATTCTATTTTTGAATAATATTTGATTTACAAAATTATCTTCAAATATATCAAAATTTAAAAACAAAACCCCAACCATAAAATTAAATGATTTCAAAAACCCACCGTAAACGGCAGAATTAAGAAAATCTCTGATTAAAAAATTGGTCGGGAGTATAACCAAAATTCGATTCGAATAACGAGGAATACGAATAGCAAAATAAATTATCGTTTTGTTCAAACGAATTATGCGATTTGAATAAAACAAATATTAAAGCAATAGTTCGAAAAACAATCGACACATTTTAGTAAGAATCATTTTATATTTTTAAAACCAACTATTCAAATCGAATACTATTAATATCCGTTCGAATAAATAGGGCAAATTATTCGACCAATATATTTTTGAGTAGGCCTAGCAAGGAAGTTAAAATTTTTTTTGTTGGAGTTATAAATGAATGATGTTTAAATATCTAAACTTTATAAGCAAAAAATAATAAATGGTTGATAATTTAGGCATTCGATTGATTATATATTAAAAAAAAATTTTAACCAAAATTAATGTTATAAGAAATTAACACATATAAACCTAACCTACATATAAAAATAGAAAAGATAAAAGAAAATAGGAAAAAAAATAAGAGTAGACTGCTGATATAAAAGATAAGGGAATCTTTTAGGCGTGAAAACTTATGGACAAAAGCCCGGAGTGAAGAACACGGTCAGGATCAAGGATCATTAAAAAAATATCTGTTCATTCCAAAGATCGTAAATACCTATTTGAGACATGTTTTTGCTATATTATAAAAAAACTCTTCTGGTTTTTACACCTAATTTAACCTGAGTTTATAATTTTAAATAATTATTGACGATTTATTTTAAATGATAAATGCTAATATCCTTGTTCATAACCAGAGGAACTTAGGGTAGGCATATCGATTCGGTTTCTTAATCAAGAATTTATAAAGAACATGAACACTTGTTTGCCTTATTATAAAGTCTGTTTTTTTTTGGTTTTGACATTTCCTGCTTGGAGAATATTGGTTTACAAGGGATAAATGTTGATCGTTTTAGAAATGTTAATAGTGTTTTCTAGATAAACTAATTAGGTTTCGGAAAATGAATAAAAGCTACCAAATAAAATGATACTTGTTATCAATTTAATAAAATAATTATATAAAAGAAGGAGTGTTATTAGAAAACGACCGGGACTAAATACCGTATAAAAAAAAGAGTGGTCCATAACCGATATGACAGCTTCACTACATGGGAGAGCCGGATCAAGATTTCACATTAATACAGAGTCCGATCCAAATTAGAATCCTGTCACAATATGGCACATATCCAGAATGGAAAAAAAAATAGGCATTTGTTAAACAAAAAGATCAAGAAAGGTGTAGAACTAAAAAAATTCCTGGAAATTTGGTAATAGATCAGAGTCGGTAATTTCGCTAAAGTGGAATAGTTACAATTGAGTTATATTTAAAAAAAAAATAACGATAAATATAGTTTAGTTACTTTCCAAAAATAACTTTCTGATAACATTACATTGTTATTTATCAAAAAAAATTAGCTTTTGCAATTTTAATCGATTTAGATATGTTGAGAACCATATTAATCTGAATGCTTCTAAAAGACACCCTTGCACAATATTTATTACAATAATATATTATGAATAAATATTAATTTTATGATATTTCCAAATTGATTAATTATATTAATAAATTTTACATATTTAGCACAGAGTTAAGTATTTGTAAGGTTAAATGGACTTTCAGTCAATTGACTAACTTTTCCCTATATATGCGAAAATAAAAATTAATTTACAAATTACATATTGTATAATGAGATATTTATTTATATAGATCATTTTATTAATGATTGTTTCGTTTCATGATTTTTGAGTGAATTGTAAAGAAGATTATTTTATCCATGGCCGAATTCTTCATATAACGCTTTTGTTGTCAATCAATTCCGAAATCTCTTCATCTTTTTGAATCAATCTACTCGTCATTTTTTCCCTTTTTATTTTTATATCATAATTATTTAGGGGGAGTAAGACAGAGGGCGGTGATAGAAGGTAAGTTAAAATTTTACAGAACATGTGTGAGGGGTAGTGTTGTTAAACGGCTCAATTTGAGCCGATTTTTAAAAACCGTCTAACTCAATATTTTATTAGGAAAAATCAGAGTTGTTAAAGGATCTAGATATAAAAATGTGGTATCTGTATCTGTATCTAGATAGATTTTTGATTAAGATATCGGTATCTAGACGATGTATCTGTATCTAGATCCATTTAAAAAGTATCTTTTAACAACTCTGGGAAAAATATTATGCAAGCCTAAAGATTTTGCTCACAGATGGCACGTAGGATTGAACATCTGTTGACGAAATCTGGACGCTTAGGCAAATTTCCTGGCTATAATGTTGAGTTAGTCGTTTTAAAAAAATACTAGTGAAAGATATAGAAATTAGCGAAAACAATTTATTTATCTTTTGAACGTTCGGAAAATATTTGATTGGTTTTCGATTTTAATCCCTAAATTTTTTTTTTATATAGATATAGGATGATAGGTTGACTTACTCGAATTTGGGATTCCACACATGGTACACCAGCACTACGGCTCCCAGAATAGAGAAGAACAAAAATCCGGCCACCAAAGGAACGAGCCAAAAAGCGTAAGTGTAGTATGTTTTGATTGGATTCACTATCTTCATTTTGTTCAAAAAAAAAATGGAATATTTAGATATGACATTAGGTAAATGCTACTTTTTCTTGCAGTTATTCTCATGAGAAATTCTTGAAATTAATTTTTTTTTATCCCATGTGTCACTATAGTTTTTTAGGTAAGCGGAAAATCATTCCCTGGAAAAAAAGATCTCCAGTAATAATTCTTAGAAAATAATTCCACGGATGAGGATTTTCTATTTGAATATTGTAATAAAATGGTATGCTCTCATTATTTATATGTCATAGGCTGCGCTGCAAACGCTTTACATTTCTACCGTTAATTAAAATGAGCATATCGGATTGGTGTAATATGGGTAGAAATACTATTGATAAACTCACTGGAGCAAAAAAATAAATTGCGAATTTCAAAATATTTACAGCCTTGGGTCGCTTTACTTGTTTTTTTTTTAAATTATATTGATACTGTTCCATTTTGGTATTTTGGGCAAAGTCCAATCCAACCATAATTATCCCATGCAGACATAACCTCTAACTAGATCCAAATCAATAAGAGAGGGCAAGAGAAAAACATTTATTTTTGACTAAATAGGTTAATTTAAAGAAACGGAAATCTCTCCTTACCAAAATCGTTTTAAATTATGGATCTGTAAGTCCGCGACCATAAATTCGGGTTGGGAAATTTTTTTTTAAAAAAATTTACCTTGAATTAGAATAAAATAATAATTAGTGATTTTCTATATATTTAAATCTCAATTTCCGCCTTATTTTGAAACCGATAATTTATGTAGCGATTTTTTTATCTTTGCGCATAACTGAGTATTTTTTAATGTCGGGCGGCGCTCGCGTTTAAAAGGCCGGCAGTGTTAAAAGATAGGGGATAAAATTATTACTTTTAACATTGCAAGCTAAAGCAGTGCTATAAAAGTGAACCAGGCAGGACTTCGAGAAATTCGTTACAAACAATTATTATTAGTTTTTCATAGTTTTTTTTATTGAAATTTCTTAGATCATCAAGGAAAATCCTAAAGAATATAAATAAAATGTCATTAAAATAAAACATCGATAATTACTAATTTTAATCATTGTAAAAAAAGTCTAGTTGAGTAATGGCAAGAAATTGGAAAATTTGACTAAATCTACGTGCAGAGTCAGGTCAAGGATTCAAGAGATTTCACCAACGAAAGCTCAAGCAAGATGAGGTCAGGTCATAATTTCTGGCAGAAATCTTAACCAATATCAATGAATCTAATTCCAATTATAGTTTTGAATAGTGTTGTTAAATTACCTAACTTTAACCATCTCTATTGTGGCTTCGTCAAGCTTTTAGCCTAAAAAATCAACTTGAAGATTGCTTCGAATAATTTTGGTTATAAACATGGCTATGCGGTTTTATGGTTGACTAAAGTTAGGTAGTTTAACAACACTAGTTTTGAAAAAAATAAGGATCTGGTTTCCACCTGAACAAGATACGCCTTCATACTTCTATTATAAATATTATAACAAAATCTAGAATGATTTGAAATTTATCAAACCTTGCACCGCAATTTAGCTTCAATGATATCCTGAGAACGTGATATACAAGTTTGAATAGCCCTGGTAGGAATATAGGAGTCGGAATTGGCAGAATCACTGGATTGATTGCCATTGAGTCTTATCACAAATTTCAAGTAAATTTTATTGACACCTACAGGGAACCATTTCCATAAGACGTCTTGGATTCTTTGTTAATTAATCATAATTGTCCCTATTATTTTATAACTCGTGTATAAATGATTTGGAAATTGATAATTACTTAAGATTTTTGATATTTTAAAAAATAAGTATATTTACATTTTATGGTGATTAGTAATAATTATTTTTATATAGGTATTTTATGGTAATCTTTTAATTTTGTACAAATTATTTTAAGAACGCGTGTTGGAAATCCTCATAGTTTAACATTATTTTGAACATTAAATGTGTAAGCAATATGTTGTTTCAAATTTTATCTAAAATTCCTAGGAGAGAATCAAAAAATCTTTAAAAAAAAGAAATCTTTGCTCAAAATTTTGGATACTTAATTACACAACGAAAAATATTATCGGTAGATGTTAAATCAAATTGGTGTTAAAGTCTAAACAATTTTACTAAAATTTAAATTTCCCTTATAGTGCGCGAACAAATTGAGCGTTTCAAAAGCCGCGTTGCAAGCGCCAATAAAGCCTTTCAGTAAAATTACCGTTTGGCGTTAATTAGCAACCATTTTAAAAAAAATGGCAAACATCTTTTCTTTATCATTTTATCTTTTTTCATTCTCCGCTTCGTAATATCATATAAAAATGTAAACATAAACAACTTACTTATAATCCTAAAAAATGGAAGAATATATTTAGAAAATTAAAGAAATAAGAATGCAGACGATAATATAATTTTCAAAGACAAATCCTTTTTTTGTTAGAATTTGATTGAAATTTCGAATCGACGGATATTGATAAAAATGACAACCTCAATTTAAACAAGGAATGCGATATTATATATAATAATAAGGGGGCAAGCCAAAAGTGAACATTCAAAAAATTTGAATAACCTGATGGGTTGAGGGTAAGTGATAGGTGACAGCTGATGATTGAAAGGTTCGGGTCGACAAAAATCAGGGATAATACAATAGAGATTCATGAGGGACGTCATTATTCCAACGAACGTTTCAGGATTACAGGTCGAGTTATTGTCCTGCGTAAATATAAAAATACATAAATATTTTTAATCATTGTATTTTTCTTTATATTCCTTCGATTTTTATTGCTTCATTTATCTTCAATCTATTGAATGATTTCTTTCCCCTAATATATCGATCATTTGATTAACCATTTTCAATACCAACATCTATGAAATTTTTTAAAACAAATTAGGGAAAATCAAACGATATCGATAATCGGCAGTTATCATAATCGAATCGGATTCTAAAAGGTTGTATGGGTACATTATCACCAAAACGGTATTTATAAAAATTAAGTTGATATCGGCTGAAAAATCTTGGAGTTCCGCATCTTAAAAGAAAATCGAATAAGATGATATTTGATTCGCGACTAATTCATAACTCACTAGAGAATCATGTAGTGGATAAAAGGTCGATTCCCCTTTTTCCAGAATAAGGATTGCCATGCTTTAAATCAATTATTTTTTTATCAATATAAATCACGATTTAAATCAATTATTTTTTGTTGTAACTTAAATAATTATTAATTTTTTTTTTTAAATCAAAATATTTTTATTATATTGTAAACGATTGTATATTAAAAACGCCCAACTCAATATTTTATCCAGAAATGAATTACAATTAAGCCCGAAGATTTTTCCCGTAGATGGCACAGAGGTTTGGACATCTGTTAGCGAAATTCCAAGACTTCGGCAATATTTTTGTGGCCAAAATCTTGAGTCAGCTGTTTTTAAAAAAAATCGACTAAAATCGTGCCATTTAACAACACTAGGTAGAACAGTGACGATGCGGGTCTAGTTTATGACTAGGACAGCGATTATTTATTTATTTAGACACAATTTTTGTGATTCGATTTATCCATAGAGCTTTGAGATCAGCTCGAATTCCATCTATTCTTGAACTTTCTGGTCTTTATAGATCTGATGGGAAAGGTCCTGATGAGATTTTTCAAATTCCTTGGAAGCGAGGTCAATTCCTGGTCCGGGATTACTCGTGCTCTGATCCTCAAAATATTGAGATTTATAAATTAGCAGAATTCGTTACTTGTTTTTTTTCCTAGTGAAATTCTTAATTATAAAACGTTTTATATGAAAAAAAAATTGGGATTGAATGAAATTGATAGATATTGAATAATCACACTTTAAATTTATTCTGTTTCCATGATAAGCCTTTTATTCTTCTTAAAATTCACGATCTACAATTACGGTTGTTAGAGCCTAAAGTTGTGGTTTGTTGCACAGCTCTAATAATCAACCATTTCTTTATGCCAACGTTAAAATTAAGTTCATATCATTTTATCTTTACTTAATAAAATAAATTAACAATTTTATATATTTGGTTTCCCAATGGTTATTTTATATGATAATAAAAAATAATTTATCTTAAATTTTTTTAAATTTTCTTCCTGAATATATTAAATTTCTAAACGAAAATATTACGTGATTAAATTATACTAATTTTTATATGATATTTGAAAATAAAATTGACATATCCAAATCAACTGTTTAAATTTAATAATATAGCTTACTCCTAAAATCAATTCTTGTTTAATTGACCAAACAACAATACCATAATATAAGCAATTTAGATGAAAATTAATTATTGATATAAAATTTTATATTATAGCTTAATTATTCATAGCCAATGATGCTGACACTATCTCAAGAAAACTTATTAAATTATACAAATCAACTCGATTCATAACCTGTTTCTATACCATTTATTTAATATTAAAATCTTTCACGAAATGTGTCGACTTGTTAGTTTTACTCATATCATATTTTTTTAAAGTAAAGTTTAGATTTGGTTCATTTAATTAAATCATACAAGTCATTCCACCTTTTATCAGCAATGGAACATTAATTTATTATTTTATCATGTTATAAAAAAAAACTAAACAATTATTTAAAGAAAGAAAGAGGAAAGAAGGAGGGAGAAAGAAAGAAAGAAAGAAAGAGGGGGGGGGGGGGGGGGTTTCTTTCTTTTCCTTCCCCCTTTGAGATACAAAAAAATTCGTTCTTATATGTATAAAAATATAGTATCGTTACATATTTATAATAAACTTCAATATATAATTATTTGAGAAGTCCAGCTTTATAAGCTAGGGAAAAATCATTATATTATTATTATTGTTTAAATTTATAAGAAAATCTCAAATAAAATAAATATCAATGTTAATTTGATACCAGGAAAAATGAATTCCCAGAGTTTATCTAAAAAATGTTGGTTCTAATCCTAATGCTAGCTTATAAAAAATTTTCCTTCCATTCTAGATTTATTACCAAATTAAATAAAAATAATCAGATTGTTGTTAGATAAATTATTTTCGTAATTATAATGTATTTAAATTAAAATAAATAATTGAAAAATATATTAAGCCTTTTTTTTAGCAAATCCAATAGAGTTAACAATAGGTCTAAAAATTTAAACAAAAAAAAATATGTTTGATGCAACGACATATAATAATACCTAGAATGATGATGCATTTCGTTTAAAGTGTACATCAATTAAAAACAGCTGGGGACGCCATTTTGATTACCCCTATCATTATTAAAAATTTTTAAACGAGAGGCCAACTTATTTCCTATGTCGGACGCAACCTTTATTAAAGAATTGTCTGATCGTCGAGATAATAAGGAAGCTACAATCTAAGTAGTTTTTAACACGAGAATAAATTACTATACGGGTTACCAAAATGGCGACTCCAGCTGATTGGCATTCAACGACGCTTTCGTATGCATTATTTATGAATGCATAGTCCGTCTAGGCATTATTGTATGTGATTGGTTTGATGTGACAAAATAAATGTGTCTTCAATTACATACATATATTATGGTATGTATGAAATGTCAATATTATGACATGTATGAAATGTCAATCAAAAGTGATCTTTTGAAGGAATTGGGTTGTAGTTAAAATCAGATGATCTTTTGTTCAAGAGTTTATACTTAATATGTTTATATTATGATTATGATTGTTCAGGGATCATTTATTTTTCCATGACATATAAAATATTTTTATTATATTTAAAAAAAAATCATGATTTAATCAAAAAAAAAATGATTTTTTTTAAATTAAAAATGTGTATATTACTAACCCCAAGAATAGACTTTTTATTTTGTTTATAATAATTAATGATATATTTAATTTTTTAGCATATTATAAATCTGAAAAGTCATTACTGATGAATCGATAGAGCGTTGAGATTTGTCCAACATCACGATGCACGGCGGCGATTCGCCGAAGGCCGAGGTGGCGTTATCGGGAATGTCCATCTTTTGGGACAAAAGAAAAAGCTCCATGTCGCGGAGAGTATCGTTAGTTGAGCCAGCAACCTTTTGAGAAGCTTTAACAGAATAAAAACACTCGTATATATTTATTCTGGTTACCTTCTAGCCTAGATCTAGACAGTTATCCATTACTAAGGCTAGGCTAGGCCCATGTTAGTTTAGACAGATATCTTAAAATTAACATCGAAACGATAAACATTAATTCATGATATAATCATGGAAGTCACGCTTTAGAGACATATAAAGAAAAATTCAAATGGATGATTGAATAGAGTCACCCTTAAAAATTGAACCCAAATACTGGCTATAAACTACCCTCCTCGCTATTAGGGTTGTAAAAAGTCTCGATTTGAAGAGATTTATAAAAACGGCTGGCTCATTTTATCCATAGATGGCTATAAGGTTTAGGCATCTATTAGCGAAATCTCCAGGCATAGGCAATATTTTTCTAGGCTAAAATATTTAGTTATCCGTTTTTAAAAAAATCGGTTCAAACCGAGCCGTTCAACGACACTATTCGCAATAAAATCCGGTGGACTTGGGCCCACGATCACCAATTACTCCTATCAAATAAAAAAAAATTTATTTCCTCTTTACAATCAAGAATCTCATTTTCCTATTAATTAAATTTTTTGATGATTATCATTTAAATAATTTCTAAGCTGGTCTGCGGACTCATTCAGGCTCAAATTTATCTACTTCCTGGATTTGGGTGTGTCGTGCCACGCTCTCGATAGTCTACTCTCGAGCAATGACATCCAGCAGTATACTACTAACTTTAGTAAACTGGTATTGGATAAATCGGGTCATGAATGGGTTAAAAGCTTATCCAAGTTCGTTCGATAAATATCATTTAACAACCAAGTAAATTCATGTTATAGCCATCAGGTTTGTTTTGGGCATATCCCTACCTTATAACTGTCAAAGATGTGGATTAATGATTGATGCTAAAGCTAGACATCCATTCCATTGTCTCGTTTCAACAGATACAAATATATAAGGGACGAATCAGTTATGAATAAGGTTTGACGGGCATACTTCAAATCCCGATGATCCATTAGGAATCAGAGGAAAGGAAATCCTTTAAATATCAGTATTTCGTCTAAAACAATATTTCAAAACCTGTCGTAGTTTCAACAAAGTTTATCCGAAAAATAGGCAAAATCCCTAATAAAACTTATACGCCAAAAGTGCAATAAAACAATAATTTGCTTTGACTACGCTACCATTTTAAATTACTCAAATATTCCTGGCCATCAACTGAGGAGGATGTCTATTCATTTTAAATTATTAAAATGTATAATTGACGTTTGTGGCCCTGTCACATTTGTTAAATCATATAATTTGCTCATATGTTCATTTAAATTTTTTGCTTCCAATAAAAATTGCATTTCTTAATTTTAAAGGACTGGGAGAGATAAATTATTTCACCGGAAGTTGGGCCCCAGATGGCCAGATACCCCTAAATTGGGAAATACTATTAAAAGCTTAGTAACTTTTTTTCATAAAGTGAATACGAATTTTAAGTCGGCTGACTAAAATAAAGGGAAACATAAGTATAATCCGTTGTTAAGATGGCGAAATAAGGGTAAAAATATAAACGTGGCGTGGTAAATGTATATGTGGGCTTATGGTTCAGAGTTTGGGTTCTTAGAATAAAAAGGATTTTACTTCCGGTTCCTATGGAATTTTTTTTAAAAAAAAATTCCAGTTCCAAAATCTTTTAGCAGGTCTAGCAATGAGATAGAGATATGGTTTCCATCAAATATACCAGCTGTCATTTTAATAAGGTATTTTAAATCATTAATTTTTTTGTATTTTAAATCAGTTTTTTGTAAAAATATGAAAAAAAGGTATCATTATAAAATACAAAAAATTAATTCAATGGTTACAAGGTGTAGTTAGGTATAATGAGCAAAACATATTGAAGAAAATGGATATTATTTGGTATAAATTCTTATGTTGGGAATGCTTTATGGATTACAAAGTGTAGTTATTAGGGATAATGCGCAAAACATATTGAATAAGATGGATATTATTGGTATAAATTCTTATTTTGGAAATGATTAAAACTCATGTATGGATTTAACATATATTTAATAAACTCTAATGTTTTATAAGTAAGTCGAACAATTATTACCATTCTTATTACTTCCGCTTTATCAAAACGAATCGTAGTGACGGTAAGATATAACATACTAACAGATAGTATGTGCAGAAATCCTAAAGTATCGACAAAGCAATTTATCCAAAAGTTCTAAATATCAGCCTCAAATAATCTTTCTAAAGATATACTGCTTTAAATAATAAAAATCCTTGGGAGGTATTTAAAAGAATCATCAAGCATATCAGATTGTGAAACCAACTCAGAAGCTCTTAGTAATTCCATCTTAAATGTCTAGATACTAGGTTGGTTAATCCATCTTTGGGTCAAATTCTACAGAAAGATGGTCTTCCCCCCCCTTCCTCTTTTAGCCTAGATCGATCCAAATTTAGAAATAGGCTTAGAATTTTAAATATTTTAATGATAAAAATCTTATACTTTACAATATATATAATTTTTTTTTTATAGTTGAAATTTGCGTTTAAAAATAAATTGCTAATTATATATTTGAAGTATTGTTTATTAGTAGTGTTGTTAATTGGTTGGTCGTGTAAAACCCAGACCCGGGGATTGGTTCTAAAAATCGACTAATCCAGCTCTGAGCACGAACCCTGAGCAGACACGTGGTTTATACATATGGTTTAAATTTATTAGTACATTACAAAATGACTGCATTTTTCGATATAATTTTCATAAAGCTTAGAAAAAAACCACGGAATAATTCATACTTTTTATTTTGGGATGATCTATTGGAGGCGACATAGATACTGACTGACAAATGAAGAGGGGGGGGGGTCATCTTAAATGGTGATCTGATTAGGTGGCATGTGGGAGCAAGTAGTGGAGAGTTATGAGGGAGTACATGGGGGATTTAGTTTATGCGCGAGAAATCCTGAAAGGAGGGAGAGAAGTTTGGGAAAAGTGATAACAATGTTTAAGAAAGAAGCTGAGACGCTGGAGACTTACAAGGGTAGTGCTAAAAGTTCGGTAAATTATTTATTAGTAAGGAGATGTGATTAGGGCATGTCACTACTCAAGACCCTCAAAAATGGAGAGAAGGAAAATTACCTAGGTAAACCTAGAAATCGCTATTAAACGAAGAAGAAGAAATCGCTAATTTATTTCATGTAAAATATAAATGCGATAAGAGGTATAGGAATGGTTATTATATAATACAAATATATAATAATAAAACAATAATATTTTTAAAAATTGTAGCCGGAAACGCGAGGGAAGGCGTTGATCCTTCTATCCCCGCGGGTAATACTCCTGTTACTGGTTGTAAGACTCGCATAAGTTTGGGCAATATTCAAAAGGTATTTGTAGCAAAATGTCAAATGATTTATAAGTGACGAATTTTGACAAATTATTATTAAGCCTGATTTGGTTGGATCAAAACGACCTGATTGAAATTTTAGCCAAAATCATATTATGCAATCCTGGAGATTTTGCTCGCATATGGCAGAAAAGGTTTGGACATTTGTGTGCCAAGATCTCGATTCCTACAATAATGTTATTTTGGCTAAAATCTTAATCAGGAATCGGACTTTTCAAACGACACTAAAACTATAAAATTATTATGTTCAATTGAAAAAAAAGTTGCCACATGTAGTTTTGTTAGGTTCGCTTGGAAATATTAACGCTCAAAATATAATGTTCGGTTCGCTGGAAAATATTAACGCTCACATGTTGTGCTATTCGGTTTGCTAAACCGTTTTTTATGCGTTTCGATGATGTTCGATTCAAAAGCCGCTCTTAAATGTCCAAATGGAGAAACCGATTTTTAAACCGAAAGAAAGTGTAACATTGAGAAAGAAAAAAAAAAGCAAAAGACGCTCTCATTACATTGGTTAAAAAAATGGTCCAATAAGAAAGCGAGTCAATTTAAAGACGATAAATATAAAGTTATTTATATGATAAAAAAAGGTATGGAATACCCGTTAAGAGAATCCTAGCGCATAGAAAGGCAGTGAGGACGAGGTACCAAAGCATAACTCTAATGTGATCCCTATAAAATATCATAAGGTAAATAAATAAATAAAACGGAAATGAGGTTTTGTATACATTGATTGTTGTTACTTATGTAACAGTGCTCCACATTTGCACTGAGGGTCACTATGCCCCAGTCCGAACAATGCCCTCAAAGATTTTTACCGACTCGTAAGTTAATTTTATCTATAATTTGTCCGGCGAAGCCAAGTAAAAGATTTTAATTTTTTTACCCACGTGTAAAAAATTTGTCCAAAGTTGTTCAGCCCGTTCCAAAAATGGCGAGGGCCGACTTCTAATAAATATCATCTGTTAGGAATCCGAAATCGAACATGAATTTTTAATTAACAGTAATATATTAGTTCTGCAAGCATCTATTCTGATAAGCTCCCATTCTAATTTGGATCTGTCAGACATTTTCTCGGACTCGGTCGGGCCGGATGTAAAAACTGGCCCGAGATGCGGGGTTCCACTTTAATGTTTAATAAAGAAATGTTTCTCTATTCTAAGGCCATCTTGTTTACAGACAAAAAAATAAATAAATTGTCGGGAGAGGAAAAAAAATCCTTAATTTTTAAGTTCTAAATATGGCGTGCATAAAATATGGGCCATAAAATAAATTATTCATTCTGAAAGTTAACGGTCACGTGATCGATCTAAACTAATCACAAACAGCTTAAATTTTTTTAAAAATTGAAAATAAGGCAGGAATAAAATAAAAAAAAATACATTAAAATACAAATAAAAAAAGAGAATCGATTTAAATCTAAAGATTTATCGATTTAAATCAATTTGATTTAAATAGTGCCTGCCAACTAGTGTTGTTAAATTGCTCGATCTGAGCCGATTTTCAAAAACGGCCAACTCAACATTTTAGCCAGATAAATAGTGCCTAAGCCTCAGGTCCAACCTTTGTACCATCTATGATAAAAATTTTCAGGCTTGCGTAATAATTTTCTGATTCGAGTTAGCCGTTTTTAAAAACCGACTCGAGTTTTTAAAAACCGGCTCGAATCGAGGCTGTTTAACAACACCACTGCCTGCCAACCCTATAGATATGAGTGAATTTTTAATAAAAATAAATTTTCCTCACGTACCTATATTATTATTTTTTTAAATTAAATTAAAATACCTTATCTTTGATATAGGTAGTTTAATTCGTAAAAAACCTTGAATCAAACGATTAATTATTTTTTAATCGAAAATTGGCTCGAAGGCTTTAAAGGGGTTGGGCTTGGCGAAAAAACAATTTAAAATTATCAATCGATTAATATAAAAAATAATATAGATTGATCTATATTACTCATTTCGTTTCGTTATACAAAAAAAAATATATTATGCGTAGAAGTCATACGCCGCCATTTATTTTATTTTTCATTCGTTTCTCAGCTGTACAATTTGCATGAATATGGAATTCGAATTTATAAGATGCAGAATCAAATTTCATAGAGTCATAAAAATAATATGTATATATATAATATATCGAGTGATGATCAGAGTCATGACACAAATCTTGACAGCCGCCAAAAAAAAAAAATTAAATCGGATATCTGTTGCGTCACTGGGATTATTATTCACTTAAAAATGACCCGTATCTGTTCATTAATTTTAATATACTTTTTTTAACTTAGCAACTAATGCGCTGGAGCGATTGCTGAATCCAAAAAAAATCAATTTTAAAAACAAAGGGAATAATATATATCGTTTTCTTAAATTATCATCTTTGATATCTTAGCCATGATACACCACATATCCCATTAAAGGGGAATAATATATATCGTTTTCTTAAATTATCATCTTTGATATCTTAGCCATGATACACCACATATCCCATTAAATTTTAATAAAGAAAGTGACTCGTCATTATCTAGAAAGAAAGAAAGAAAGAAAGAAAGAAAGAAAGAAAGAAAGAAAGAAAGAAAGAAAGAAAGAAAGAAAGAAAGAAAGAAAGAAAGAAAGAAAGAAAGAAAGAAAGAAAGAAAGAAAGAAAGAAAGATTTTTATAAAAGTTGTTCAGACTAAATATTAATTCTAAATGATGAAAAAAAAATCTCCATTTTATAGTATATAAAAATATTGACAATATTTATGATAATTTAATATCTTCAAAATTAAATTTTAATTTAATTGTGAAGACCTGGGGCAGGTTTTGGCGGGGTACATATTAGCTATTTTTTAAGCAGGGATTATTTTGAATATAAAAAAAATTCAACTAAATTATATAAAAATATTAGAAGGCCACTAGTTTCTCTAGGGCCACAAATGATAATATGAAAATGATTGACATATTTTAGGCAAATTATATGACAGGTTTTTGTCAGTGACGTGAATATTGAAAAAGAAAAGTTATTTATAATATTAGAGATAACACAGTTAATTTGAATATAAAATTTGTAAAAGTAATTGAAATGTTTAAATTTGTAATTAAATTAAATGACAATTATATGAAATAATTATCGATGGTGTGTAAAATTTTTAGTAGTATTAAATAGCGAAATCGAAAATGTATTGAGGAAGGGAAGACAAAGAGAAGAGAAAGTTTTATTAATTTTTACTTTATATTTTTACGTTTTTAATTTTATTTATTTTATGTTATTTTAGAAAAAATTTTAATTAACTATATATATTTTAATAAATTAATTTGTCATCTTCAATTCTTGATTTCAATGACTTAGTAATTGAATTAAACAGTTTTAAATGATAACAAGTTCTTGGCGGTGATATATATAATATAAATGAACCTAATAAATTTAACATGTTAGACAATTTATTTTCATTTATTTACTTTGAATTAACACTTTTATATAATTTTTTTTGTTTTAAAAAAAACCTACAAATAAAGAAGGTCATTAGTTATGACACGTAACGCGAAAGGATAATAGAGACCCCGGGTATCTTTCATAATTCTTAAATTTCACCTTATTTTTAAAAAAAAACTAAAAGATTTTATTTCTTAAATATTAATTTATACCGTAATATTATGTAAAGAATAAAACTACGTTTTTAAACATTTTGGTATGGACCATATAACCCCGGTCTCTCCTACAATATTTTTTTTTAAATTAAATATAATTAAGGTTAATACTATAAGCAATGAAAATATTTTTATGGAAAATCGTCTGCTTTTTTTTAAATGAAAGAAAACAAGGAATATTTTAAACATATTTTTTAACTTTAAAGCAGACGATATATAATTTAAGGAATCATGTGATTAGATGCTAATAATTGCAAGAAAACATTTCTAATTCTTATAATATTAAAATTAAATTTAATATAATTAGACAATTAGAAGGATTTTAGGTGAAGACACCATTTTATTCTAATCTGGATTAAGGATCATTCCATGCCAAATCCATCAAAGAAGCACGATTCTCTACCAACTCTGAAAAAAATAGAATGAAAAAAGATATTGGGAAAGAAAGAAAGACCATAAAATTAAATATAAAATTTTTTAGGTCAAATTGCAAAATCAGCATATTATAATAAAATTTTAATAATATTATAATAGAATTAAGAATGGTGTATGCTAAATGAAGTAATTCAAATTTATATTTCAATAATTCTTGCTGACACAGCCCTTTTTGCGTTGGATACAGTGACGTGAATTGACAAGAAATTCGAACGGCAACTTTCTAAGCCAATGTTTTGGCGAATATGGAAATATTCTTTAAGATAGCTCGTGAGATGGGTAATTTTTTTTCCTATCTCCTTCGGGAAGGAAAGTGCCTCGAGGCCAAAATTTCCTAGGGTGACAACAGGAAGGAAATTAAAATTATTCAGCCCTGAATATTTGTTTGTTTTTCATTTCCGCCGGATGTTAAATTTCGCTGATATGTTTATATACAAGTGTAATTCCGGATACCCCTTTCCTTGGAATTAGAGTTAAACCATTTGGTCCCTTACTATCTAAGTTATTAAGACCTAATGAATAGAGTGCATGGTGTGTTGGCTCCTCTTAGAGCTTTGGATATTATATTGTTGGCTGCGCTATACCTAGGATGGTGGCCTTTAGAGAATGGGCAATTTCTTATCATTTCACGCTCCATAGCCTATTACCTCCCATCGTTTATAATTAGTATGGGAATTTAACTGATAAGTATTCACGCAAAAATAGATCCATGTCTCAACAAAAATTATTTAAATATAAACTTGAATTATAAATATTTGATTTACACAACTTTTATTGTATTATAAAAATATACATTTTAATGTCATATTTAAAATCTGGTAACTAACATGCATGCTGTTAATTGTTATTTTATTTTTTTTATGTCAAAAATAAATTAGTATTGATTAAGAAAATATTTTATTAAAGAATGGTACTTAATTTATTACTTAAAACTCGGCCCGAAACGTCCCCGGTCTATCATGGGCCAAAAATATTTTTATAAAAAATATATCGGGCGAGGCCGGGTCGAACTGGACAAAAAAAATCTAACGGGCCAGGAAACTATTTGGGCGGATAATTAATATATAAAATGGCAGGTAGCACTTCACAAATCTTTGATTATTCCTAAAATTTTGATAGGTCATCCTGGCCATTAAAGTTTTGATATTTTTGTAAAAAATACTAAATCTATGAATAATATAGTTAAATTCACAAAAAAAAAATACGCAATTTATTTATACGAGACAATTACTAATGCGCAAAATCGATTTTTTAATGGTTGTCGTAGAAATAAATACCCATAGAGGAAGAGATACGAGAGCTGTAATTGATATTGTAAATAATAAATTAAACATATACACTAAAAAATGTGCAAGAAAATTCGTGTAAAAAAATTTTACCCGAGGAAGGCCTTTGGTCGGGCCTGATCTTCAGTTAAATTTTTATAGAAAAAAAACTATAACAGGCCAGGGCTAGAAAAAACATCGAGCAGGGAGGGCAACCTGCGTAAAAAATTAATAATGGGGCTAATACGGACCGGGCATTGAAGAACTCTATAAATTTGATTTATTGTTTAAATAAACATATACTAACGGCCCTTTTTGATGATATATTAAAATAACAAAAATCTCTACAAAATTCTAATTATTAATTTATTTTTCCCGGCCTTACAATATAATTATTTTGAACTCGATGTTAATAAGTGTTGAATTGAACTATTCGTCCTCTAGTTCATAATATTCGGGTTCAACGATGACATCTCGAGTTCGTGACTTGTCGAGTTAATATTGTTTGAGCAAAAATATACAATATTTGTTAATTAAGAAGGGAACAGTAAGAATAAATAATATATCAATGTTAATATTGAACTATTCGTCCTCTATGCATAAAAATATTAAATGAACAAAAAAATATTATATATTTTCTCCCAATCAACATATTCATTTTTAAAAATTTTAGCACGTAAAATTTTTAACATAACAAACGAAAAACGCGAGTTAATCTTCCCAAAACAAAAAAATACAATTAGAAATTTTTAAACATAATTATACATGTTTTTTAGGTACATTTTTACTATAAGCTTTTTTTTAGAGCCATCGATATTTTTAAAATTTACACTCATTTTTAATATATGACTTGTTTTGCTATTTGTTTATTAGGTTTATACTTTATTTAGGCTTATACTTGCATAATTTATATATTATTATATAATATCACTATCATATATAATGAATAAAATGATCAAATATTATAAGTTGATTGATTTTGGGTTAATACTTAGATCGTTACTCGTATCTATAGGTTCGGGTCGACCAGTTCGACCCATTTGGTTGGGTTAGGTCTGGTTAGTTTTTCGACCAAACCCCAGGGTCGTGGTCATGTAAAACCAATCATTTAACAACAATAACAATGGACATCATTGGATTTGGGTAAGTTGTCGGCTGAAAAAATATTCAAACAATGGGTGGTGGAATTTAAAATACTTTTTAGGTGAAAATAAAGTAGAAGATTTTTTATTTTCACAATACTCTGCATATTTTTCAAGTATTCGAATAAATTAAATAAGGAGGCACCCAACCAATAGAATAATTTTTAAAAACATGGGTGGAGGGGGGAGATTGACATATTTTTCTAAAACCTCAGAAGGGTCTGGTTAATTTTTTTTTTAAATAATAGGCAGGCAGGTGTTGGGTTAAGACTGGTCCATTGCAGACATATAGGCCAAACAAATTTTTTAAAAAAAAAACATTTAAATCGTATAACTAATATTTATTCAAAACTAGTGCTCAATAAACTTGAAAAATTGACTGATAGCAAAAAGAATTAGAATAATTATTTTCAGGGATGTGAACCCTCCTTCTAAAAAATGGGTTCGGTTTCAGTGAAAAACCTTTGAACCGGGTTGGGGTTCAGGGTTCGAAGTCCAGAAAAAATAATGACTCATTAAACTTAGTCAAAAATAACAGAATTTCTTTCAAAATTTATTTTAATTAGTATTGCCATAAAAATAATTTATCATTATTATAATATAAAGAAAGAAAGATAGAAAGAAAGAAAGAAAGAAAGATAGAAAGAAAGAAAGAAAGAAAGAAAGAAAGAAAGAAAGAAAGAAAGAAAGAAAGAAAGAAAGAAAGAAAGAAAGAAAGAAAGAAAGAAAGAAAGAAAGAAAGAAAGAAAGAAAGAAAGAAAGAAAGAAAGAAAGAAAGAAAGAAAGAAAGAAAGAAAGAAAGAAAGAAAGAAAGAAAGCTCTTTGTCTTACTATCAATTAACAAACAACAATATCCTAAAATAGATATTATTATATATTATCATCATTTATAAAAAAAATAAACTTTTAAAATCTGGTTTGCTGGGTAAAATTTAAAATTTTTTACGCAAAATAGCCGACTTTTAAATAAAACAAAGATTTGACAAAAAAAATGTTTTTTAAATTAATATTTTTATTTTGAATAAAAAAAAACAATTCTTTTAAATAGGAAATCTTTTATGAATGAAAATTGTAAATTAGATATTTTTTAACATATAATTTAAAAATAAATAAAATGAAGGTTTAAAATAAAAAGAATAAATTTTTTTTTAAAAAAAAAAGAAGCTTGCCCTGAACCCTAAATTTTAAAAAGTGGTTCGGCAAAATATTGAGGATTCTGGTTCTGGGTTCTCATACCTGATTATAGATGACTCATTTTTTATGAGATAAATATATATATATAAAACTAGTGATCAGTATAGAGGAGATGGGTTTCTCTCATAGTATTGAAGGGTGTTAGACCTACCATTAGAAAACCTTTGTTTACATATTTTTTGTTGTAGAGATGAAAAGATTTGAATAAAATAAATGAAGAAAATAGAGAAGAACGTATATTTTTTTGAATTGAAAAATATATTATTTTATAAAGGTTAATTTTTGTTATATTCATTGAAAGTTTAATTTTTTTATAATAGTTTACATATCGGACATTCTAATTTTTTTAGATATAAAAATAAAAATTTTATAAAAATGATATTAATTCTTTTCACTGATGAAATAAATTTTTAATAAATATATTGTATAAATTAATTGATTTAAAAGTAAATCTAATTATTAAACTATTAGATTTAATTTATATGGCATTTTTTTTCTTTATTAATAAATAATATTTTTAAAAATAATTTTGTATTTAAATTTTTTTTTCTTCCAATTCTATCATTTTTAACTTATACTTAAAAAAAATTGTCAGGAGAGAATGCCAGCACTGCCTTAATTATGGTCAAAAAAGATTGTTTAATTTATTGAGATTGCTGACATATAATTTTGCTAGCGTTGTTCATTTTTTCTCTCAAAAGGTTAACCTTAATTCACTAATCCATGGTTTAATAACGTTATTACTTATCACGAGTAAGACCTACATTTCATTTATTAATTTTAAAGATAATAATTGGATTTAAAGTTTGTATTTGATAATCATTATAAGGATAATTATATAAACCACAAAAAATAAAAGAATTATTAAAATCTACTTATATTAAAGTTGGCAAAACAAATTGCTTGATGTCTTTATGCAGGGGTTTCTGTCATAGATGATGGAAAATTGTCATTTATGCCTTGTCTTAAGGTTACTTGACATTTGCAGAGAATGAATTATTGACATGCATTGGTTATTGTTGTAATTGTGGTTATATCCAAATTTATAGATTAAGAAAAACGGAAGATAGTCAAATTACTTTTAAACAAAATTACGAAGCTGAAAGATATTCAAATCTACTCAAGAAAAGAGAATTAAATCTCGATGCAAATTAGACTATGTAAATGTTGATAATGGAGAAATTATGATTATTTTTGTATAACTTAGATTTTAATTTTTACTTTTTAATTTTTTACTTTTATTTTTCTTATATTAATTTAATTTTCTTTTATTTTGATTATGTTTTTCACTTTGTATTTGATTATAGTTATTTAATAAAGATTAATAATCAGATTTTAGTATATATATTTTTTATTTCTATTTGATTAGGTTATGATTCCCAAACAAAAAAACTCCCATTTGAGACAGTTATCTTTGATTTAAAAAGAAATATCTTGCTATTCATGCAATTTTTGCAATAATTTAACCAAGGTAGAGTCCATTTTTCAGATAAAATTAAGCTAAACTCATGTCTTGAAATTTGATTTGATGCCATTTTCTTTATATATTACAAGAATTCCTGAGTGTTATTTATTAATGCAAAAAACACTCATAAGCACCATCTATGTTTTGGGTGATCTACAACACACTTGGTTGAATTATAAATTATTTGAAATATTTCATCATAGAACAATCCATCATGGGTTGTTGACTATAGCACAATTTACCTCTAAATTCTCCCTTTAGACCTTGTACCAGATGAATTATATTTTGAAATCTTTTCTGAAATGAAGAAAATGACCAGCTCTCTGGCATATATATTTTTACTTTACTTATTTGGGGGGGGGGGGGAATACTCTAATTTATAGCTCAAATCATCCTCCTTTTAATCAAATTTAAAAAAATTTAAAATTCCCAAATAGAAAATTCATATCATTCTCAATAGAATTTCAAGTAAAATATTATTATAAATATGCAATTTTTTTTCAAAATAAAAATAATTGTTACTAAACATGGGCATAATGGCCTCAAAAAAAATTTTGCTCATTTTAATAACAATAAAAATGATAGTATATTTTAAAATTGGTCCATGTTCCTAGTGAGAAATAGTTAAAATAAAAACTTTTGAAGATTATATATTTAAAAAATCCATGTTTAGTGAATTAGGGTTATATAAAGATTTTGCTCAAGTTGACAGAGAGTGTTGGAGATCATGGACAAAATACCAAAGTTTAGGCAAATTATTTTGTAAAACATTAAAATTTCACTAATAGGCCAAATTAATAATTTAATCACTTATATTCTTATTAAGATTGTAATCAATTATTTTAATGCTCATGCACAAGATTTCCAAAAAATTATTTTTGTGATAATTTAATGAATGTTAGATAGCGAAAAATAAATTAATGTGATCAATTATATATTAATATTTTAAAAACAAAATTTAAATCATTGAAAATGTATTTTCTATACGTGACAAAATCTATAGTTCAAAGTATAAAAAAAATTTCAACATACTTTTTAAAAATAAATCCTTTATATATTTGAGTTAAATTTATGATTATAATAAAAAAAAATTTTTTACTTTCTTTCGGGCAATGCTGCTTTCAAAAAAAAATTTTTTTAAATTAATTAAAATAAGATAATCCATTTTATATAGAAAATAAAATATCGAACATCTGTAATTATTAACAATACATTTATCATTTATTATTTATAAAGAATATATATTGTTGAATTTTTTTATTATATATTAATATATAATAATATAGGCCAATTTTTGTCAAATCTTATAATTATATTTTAAAGCTCATATTTTAATGCCATAGATGGGCGCGGAAGAGTATGGGAGTCACTCAAGACTCCAGCCTTCTTAGATATATAATTTACATATTTTTATTTATGGTGATATGTGATTGCGTCAGCGTCTACATGACAGGATTTTTACTGGATGCAAACCCCCTTCAAAAACCTTTGCCTACCCCCCTAAAAAAAATCTCTGACTTCGGCGACGGTGTCTCCCTATTATTATTTTTACCTTTTAAATATATTGATACTCTTTTCAGAGAATTTATAAAGGATAACTTAAATTAATCTTTCTCTACTACCAACTATCGATATTTTGTGAATGTAAAGAATTTATTTTTTAGATAATAAATTCAATTAAAACCTCCATTATTTACAATGAATTAATTATTATGGCATTATGAGCTTGCTGAAATGATAGCAAAAAGTTTTACTTGGAAAACAATGTGTATGATTGTTTGCAATATCTAGATTTGGTCGATGAATTGCATTATAATAATTCTATTATAAAAATAGTCATTTTTACAGCAATAAATTTTGTCCTATTTCATCTAAAATTTAATAGATAACCAAGAAATTAATCTTACCACCATTAAAGCAGCCTACCTCTTACCCCCATTAAAGAGCCTACCCCCTTCAAATAAATAGGATGCGAACTGTTCCTACCCCTCCCGCTCATGTAGACGCTGGATTGCGTTTTAATTTATTTTAGTTTCTTCCAAATTTGATCTGCTATCTTTTTGAAAAACCCAAAGGCCAAAGTTAGTTTTCGGCTAAAAACTTGATCCAGATATTCTTTGACCTGCTATTTCTAGTAATTCTCATATTTTTTGATTAAGCCGTGTTTTTCCCTAATTTCAGGCTTTTCAAAATTTTATTTTACAAAAAAATTCTATCTCTAGATATAAATAATCATATTCTAAGATTTGTCCGGATCTTAACCTTTGTAAATAACATTTGTATAGATGATATAAATATTAAATTACATCACATTAATAAAACATTTAGTAAACAATTTTATATATTTTATCGGTTACTATAAATTTATATTTAAATTTATTTATTTGTATATCCAAATTATATTAACCAATTTGTTTTAATTCAATTTAACTCGCTTACATTATAACCTATTTTTATATATATTTATAGAACAAATTTTTATATTTGAAAGCAGTTTTAAAAATGTAGTTTTATATTAGTTTTCATATTATAAGAAAATGATAAATCTTACTCTATTGCTGATAAAGAAAAAACATTTATTAAATATATAATTCAATTGGCATTAAATTAAGACATAACCCAAAATCACATTAAATCGATTTAAATAAAACTTTAAACTATATAATTCACACATTTGTTTATTATACTTATAAAAATCTTGAGGATATTAATCATTTATTGCAAATTTTCGAAAAAAAAGACAATTTAACTCTTAATATTGGGCAAATAATTTGTCGATATTACAACCAATATATTTTATATAGTAATTCGTCGAAATAAAATTAATTACGCATATATAATTTTAAATATAAGCGTTTGATGAGCGAAGTTCAATTTTATATAATCTTATTTCTATTCATTTAAAAATAAAATTATCAATTTTATAATAATCCAAATTTTTTTTAAAAAAATGGTTATTTTTTTAATCAGCTGTTACCTTTATCACATTTGAATTTTTTTTAACCAGTCACTACTACTGTCCTATATAGAATACTTTATTAACTTGAATATTATTATTTATAAATAGAGTAAGCATAATGTTGTTATTCATCATCATCATCTTATTCTTAATTAACATTACTATATCAAATATAATAAATCTTTTACAGCAACATTCAATTCTATCCTTATCAAATGTAAAATGTGTCCAAAAACGTATTATATCTATTTAAAATCTTTAACTTCTAATTTAATGGGATACTTGCTTGTAATATATATTATTTTATATAATCTAATATAATTATAAATCTAATAATTTATTTTAGATTGTTGTATTTCATAGGTTTGTTAAATTATTATGATTATAGATTAGATACAAAAAGTAAAAATCATCAAATATTATACATTATATACATAGATATAAAATATTTAATATCTTTTTAAATTTATTGATTTTAATGTGATTATTTGAAGTTTATTTTAGCTTTATAATTTTTTTAGTTTAACACAATTAATTGATTATTTAATTATTTACAAAAGTTTTTATATATTAAAAATTAATAATAAATTTTTTTTTAAACAAATATAAATATTTTTTTATTCACTTAAAACCATTAATTATAAACAAGGCTAAATATATTGTGTTAAAAAATATATAATATTTATTTAAATATTAAATGAAATTTTAAAAAAAAATTATTCGTAAAGTTTTGAAACGTGAACGCGTTCAATTTTTGTCGATGAACGTTTAACGCGAATGCGTTTGATTTTTTTTAGAAATGTTTAGCACAACGCCTACTTATATCCTCATTTAAGGATTACACCCAAATTCCTAACAAATACCGCATTTAAAAAATTGCTGAACGAAAATGTATAAAATTTTGGAACACCTTCGAGGTTCATAATAGTTTTTCAAAGTGTGGTTAACAGAGTATGCTTAGTTAATTGACAATATAAACTCTTTTCCCATAAATTACTTAATAGATATAGCAGACTGAAAAATAATTCCAAGAAAAGACTTAATGATACTATGTCCACACTCATAAATGCTCCCAAAGAGAATTTAAAATGATAAAGACTCCCATTAATTGGAGTAGATAAATCAATTAATGATGCATCCACTGTAAGCAAATATTAAAAAAAATAGAATTCTCGCAAACAAGTGTTATTATGAAGACTGATTTTCCAATAGGATAAAAAGATACCATTAACGGCGTTTATTTATTATAACATTCAAAGCCCGATCTCCTCTAGATATCTATACAGGGGCGAGATAGGAAATATTTGAGATGTTTTAAAACTGTATTTGAGTGTAAATTAGGTAGGAATGTATACAATAGTAAAATAGGAATTAGAAGACTTATGATCATGCCTAAATGGATAATTTGGCAGAATTATGAAAAAGTAGACGAATAGATCATTTTTTAAATGAACGAAAACCCCGTTAGAAAAAGTAAATAATTTTTCCAGTTTCGGGACAGAATAAATAATTTACAAGATATTTATTTAATTTATTCATTGTCAAGTAACACAAAGTAATTATAATTAGTTGCTAATAATTCGAATTGTTTTGATTAAAGTTTTTATAAAATCATCTAGACGTAAATATTAGATTAGTTAATGTTAAAATTTGATAAACTAAGTCATTTTCCAATGTAATTCGTTGAGAGTTGTTGGCCTTCGTTGGGATGCAAATCTCTATAAACTCCTGAATTATTCAATCTGGCTCGATACAGAAAATAAGCTAAAATTGTAGAGAACATAAAAAGAATCGGCAAAGTTACCAATAAGATAATTTCTGCTTGTTTATTTCTGTAAATATTCTGGTCACTACTATCATTTCTATAAGCGAGCGTTGACATTTTAGTGGTATCTGACTGTTGAGGGATCAAGGGAGTGCTAATGTTGGTGTTTATTGCGCCATCCATGAACCATTTATTGGTAATGTTGCCTATAAAGTGTTTGATGGATAGGATGCGCTCCGTCGGAGCGCTTATGTTCCCCTTATTTGTTAAATTTATCATTCGAAATGGAATAGAAGGGGCTGTAGGAATAATCCTCTTTTTTATAACAGGTACAGCTATAGGTATCAAATCGGAATAATTGTTCCTAATTGCGACACAATGGCCTCTAAAACAATACTTTTTTATTGTTACGTATTTTTCTTTTCCATTTTCCGTCGCGTTCAATTTTGACGTATTAGTGTAGCATACAATGCCATTAGGCATATTAAATTTAACTTGAGCTTGTTCAGAATCATTAATACTTTTACAATAGCCATAGCATTGTTTGGTTTCGTAATATCTTTGCCCCGTTAGTCCTGGCTTATGTTTCACGTTGATTTGATTGACACAATACGAGGGGTTGTAATCGAAATATGACGTGTACTTTCGACATTTCTTATAAGATTTGTTATAAATTTTTAAATAATATATATTAATCGTTAAAATTTAAAATCGATAATTATTAGCTGTCTAACAGGATAGTTGTCACATTGAACTGCCACTATTATTAGATCAAGACTGTAATCCACTTTGTTGAGCGTTGAGTTTTGTGGTTCTGATTCGCCGCAATACCTGCCACCGAATGAGGAGTAAGGATTTGAACAGGTCCTTATCCATTTTTGCAAAGGTATGCTGCCATAAACACAAGAGGATTCGCAAGATTTGTACATTTTCCAAACACTCCATTCTCCATTTATAGGTCTCGGAATGACTGAAAAAAAATTATTATTTCTTATAGGATAAAAACTGTAATTCCTAAATGACAACCAACTTGCTTAAGAAGATATTTTCCGAAATATTAAATTATATGGTATTGAATAGGTTATCCTTATTCTCGCAGAATCTTTACAATTTAATTTGTGTTTTTTATCAATATATATGCATTAGATATATGTTTCTAAAAAGTAAATATGAACGACAAATTTCTAGTCTAATGTTCTAGCAAATATAGAAATCTACTTTAGGATCATCCGTAAGATGAGTAATTTATCTTCTTCAGGGAGGTAAATGCCTCTCCGAATTCTCCAAACATTGATATGACATAAGGAAATTCTATTTCTTTTTAAGAGTGCGCTCAAATGTCAAAATTGAGATTTAGGAAATCGAGTTTAATGTGTAAATGGGTACCCACCCAATTCTCTATAATCTACTTAGAGTTAAATTGGAAGACAAAATTTATAATAAGCATGGCACGTAAAATT